GGGCTGCGCATGCGCGGCGTCCGCCCCCCCCGCCTCCCCGCGCATGCGCAGAACCGCCGTCTCTCTGTCACCACGGCAACGGCGCCCCGGGTTTTTCCCGAAACGACGTGTTTTCTGCTCGTTTTTGCGGCGCTTTCCTACCAGTCGTGTCTAATACGTGTCTCACAGAGGTGCCGGGGGGAACCCGCGTGGCCGCCGCCTGTTTGGGAGCCGGTGCAGAGGGGCTCGGCCCTCTTTTTGTTGAAATCGGGGTGCTTCTCCTGGCGTTTTTCCCACTGATGTTTGGTGCCGGTCACGACCTCCTGCCATTGCTTTTGCATCCTTTTCTTTTGTTTTCCTTATTATTGTTATTTTTATTATTATTCCCCAGAAGTATAAAGGAGAGCATGTTTTTTTTCAAAGCAGGTCCCTTTATTGACTTTTTCCTACCCCTTTCTAAGGTACTTCCTTTTTTCCTACCCATTCCTAAGGTCCTTTCCTTCTTTCACTCGCTGGCAAAATGCTGCAGTGCTTTAATGCCTTTTTGTATCGAAGGCGCATGCAGATGTTCACGGTCCAGTGTCTCTTTTGGCCTCCTGAGTGACGCACAGGTTTTCCTTTATTTTCTTTTCTCCCGTCTAGGGAAAGCAGCAGCCCTGTGGGAACAAGGAGCAGGAAGCCGACGGGAAGGACTTCGCCCGGAGCCCGGGCGACTTCAGCGACCCGGTTTACAAAGAAATCGCCATGACCAACGGCTGCATCAACAGGATGAGCAGGGACGAGCTCAGGAGCAAGCTGGCCGAGTTCAAGCTCGACACCAGGCGAGGCCGAATTATAAAACCTCCCAGCTTGTCTCGGGGAGCAGCGTAGTCGTCAGGGTCGGGTATTTTAACTGTGCACCTTGCTGCTCGGCCTGTCCCAAAATGTCCACTTATCCAGGTGTTTTGGTATCCCGACCTCTCTTGTAATGGAGCGTGAGCTGCAGGGTGAATGTTGAATTCGGGCCTCAAAACCGCCTTGTAAATGATGAGTTTTGGAGCTGCTAGAGGCAGCTTCAGCTGTACAGGGGCAAGATGATTGATGTGATTAAATGAGCAGGTGATCTCTGATGCTTTCCCCATCCATTTAGAGGAGTGAAAGATGTCCTGAAAAAGAGGCTGAAGAACTACTATAAGAAACAGAAGCTGATGCAGAAGGAGCCCCCGGATGGAGGCAGCTGCTACGACTACATCTGTGTCGTTGACTTCGAAGCAACGTGCGAGGAAGGAAACCCGCCTGAGTTCGTGCATGAAATCATCGAGTTTCCTGTTGTCCTGTTAAACACACGCACCCTGGAAATAGTAAGTGGGCTTACTGTTGTAAGATAATAATCACGTATGAAGTGATTATGGCCTCGATGTGCTTTTTTTGACGGGTCTCCTCTGCTTCAGAAAGGCTGTTTTTTTAGATAGATGTTGAACTTCATTAGAAATAGACTTCTTTTTCTTAAAAGCCAATACTCTGTGCCCATTAAGCAGAAGCCAAACCTTTCTGATCTTAAAAATACGGAGCAGCTGGAGAGGATCGTGCCCCTCTGCAGTGTGTTTTTTGTTTCTATACTGAGTCCCTGTACTGAGAAGACGGAACTTTCAGTTTCTCAATTTCCCTCTCTATTTTTCCTCGGAAGCTCCCCTTTCCAGTGCTTCCACAGCCTTTCTCATAGGGAAAAAAAACATTCTCTTGTCCTACTGAAACTGAAGGACACAGTGAAAAGGAGGAGCCGCGTGTCCTTCCCAGAAACGCTGCATTTCTCGGGAAGCAGAGGGAGGAAGGGGAGGATTTCCAGGAATTGTTGGGATGCAGCAGAGCTGCTTGCGGCACGTGCAGAAATGTGCAGGCTGCCAAGCCCGTTCTGTTGCCCACAGGTGGGGAAGCCGCTGGGTTTTTCTCCCTTCAGAAAGGTTGGGTATCGCTGGAGCCGGCTGGGGGGTGTCTTTTTGCCAAAGGAACTTGCATTTGGCCTTCCCTTTTTCCCCACATCCGCGTGCCCGCTGGCAGAGGCTGCGGGTGGGAAAGCCTGGCACCCCCTTGGGAAGCTCCCGGAGCCACGCGGGGTCCTGGCACTCCCCCCTGCCCCTCTGCTGCGGGCAGGCCCTGCAGGGTGCCCCGCAAAGCGTCTCCTTCCCTCGCTGCAGGAGGATGCCTTCCAGCAGTACGTGAAGCCAGAGATTAATCCCAAGCTTTCGGCCTTCTGCATCAGTCTCACGGGAATCACGCAGGTAACTTGGGCTTCTGGGTCCTCCCAAACAAACAAACAAGCAAACAAGAGATCTGGGGTTGGTATCTACAGATTTACGTGCCACGTTTTTTTCTTTTTTTTTCTGTAGGACTTGCTCTCTTCAGTGTCTTTTGTTGTTTTTTTTCCCCCTCTCCCAGCTGTTATCCCAGAATTGATGTCACCAGGTCGGTCTGTTGAGGCATTTTCAGGAGCTCTGGGGGAAAGCCTTCACTTTGTAGTTGTGTTCAGAAAAATAATGACTAACACAGCTTCTGAACTGCATACGTGTGTGTGTATCCGTGTGTGTCTATGTATGTAAACATGTAATTTTTTTAGGAATTTAGGGAGTGTGGTGGCTACAGTTTGTACTCGAGCGACTTGAGCCTGGAGCAGGGAAATAGCTCCAGGATTTTTGAGCCAAGTTCAACAAATGACTAATCCATTAGCTGTGTAGAGGTCATGAGTGGTTAGACTCTTTTAATGGTGATTAGGTGATGCCTTCTGTTAGAAGAATCTAACAGAATTTATGCTGTCTTTATAATGCTGCTTTTATAATGAGTAATACGTTTCTGAAGAATTTTTTGAAGCCTTCCTAATTGAGTAATTTAGCAAGTACTTATGTAAGAGCTTAACTTTCACACTGCGTGGTGTTCTTCTTAATTTTGTTCCTCTTCTTCCTCCTTTTTCTCTTTTGTTTTCCCTTCCCCTTTTTAGGACATTGTCGATAAGGCCGACACGTTCCCTCAAGTCCTGCAGAACGTCGTGGAGTGGATGCGGCAGTGGGAGCTGGGCACGAAGTACAGCTACTCCCTGCTGACCGACGGGTAGGTCCCTGGAAAACTGCAGCGTCCTGCCCGGCTGCGGAGCCCCCTTTGCTTTTGGAACTTGTGCTGGAGTTTGTAAAGCTACAACCTGAGCTTGAAATGAGCCTTGGGTCCGTTAGATGGCACTGTTCCTTTTCCAGCTTTCCATGCCCGCCTGGGTGCAGGTTCATGGTGTCCAGGAGGGGTTTTTAGCCTGTTGCAATTTGCTGGTTCACAGCAAGTCTCACAGCCTTGTTTCTGGGAGAGCAATCCTTCCCAAATGCAAGAGTTGCAGAAGAAGTTCTATGGGATTCTTGTGTAATACCTCCAAGCTGCTTCAGCGACACTTGTAGTTCCAGGCAACTCAAACGCCTTCTTCTCAATGCTTCCCTCACGTGAAGCACAGGAAGATATTGTAGCCTGTGACGTGAGTGGCTTGAGAAATCAAGTCCTGTAGGGTTGGACATTGGTAGGAATTGATGCATAGCAAGTGGTTTCGATTTTTTTTTTTTTTAATTTACATGACTCGGTGGGAAAATTGTTTTCACGTAAAAACCTTGTTTCTCAAAAAGCCTGAAGGCCAGGACAGGTGCAAATTGTGGCCTCCTCTGGTGCAGAGATGGTTTAACTGAGCTGTGGCTGTGACCAGAGTGACCAGAGTGACTGTGAGGCTGCGTTTGAGCAGGTAGAGCAGGCGAGGACGTGATGGAAGGTGGCATCGCTTGGTTTTAATCTGGGGCATTCTGGTAAGTGCTTCAGCTGAGCTGTTACCTATGAGGCGTTTCCATCTCTGGAAGCACGAGGACTAAAGCAGAACTGCTACGAGGCTGCTTATACTGCTTGGTGAGGAGAACGTGTCTTGGGTGGCCTTCAGGGTGAGCCCTTGGTGATGCCAATGAAGGAAAATGGGCTCAACGAGATGTCCCTGCCACAGAGGGAAGCAAGTGCAGACAGCTGATTTATTTTCCCTTTGATTAACAAGTTCATATTGAAAAGTCCTTTTCCAAGAGGATACTTTTCCTCGCCTAAGCTCTTTTCCACCAGCCCTTTCTGACCAGAGGGCATCCAAATTAATCATTATTAATGTCTTTTTTTTGTTTGTTTGTTTGTTTATTTTCTCTTCTCTCTTTGTCTTTTTCAGATCTTGGGACATGAGTAAATTTTTGAATATCCAGTGCCGTATTAGTCGTATCAAGTATCCATCTTTTGCCAAAAGGTGGATCAACATTCGCAAATCGTACGGGAACTTCTACAAGGTTCGTATCGATTGCTTTTTTTCCCCTCTTGTGGGGGATGTTGTAAAAGTCTGATGTGTCCTGGTGTGCCTATGAGCTTTGCTTGTGGTGCCAAAATCAGTGCTGGACGACCTTTCTGCTGTTGCCTGTCTCTGCCGCGTTGCCATAAAGCTGCTTTTTGGCAGCCCTGATGTGTTCCAAGCCAAAGTAACGTTTGTTGGAATGGGAATGGCAGCCCAAACCAGCCGTGTGAAGGACGTTGTCCTGCAAAGCACAACTTACAATGTGACAGATATGGAGCTGCTGGAGAGAGTCCAGCGCAGGGCTAGGAGGATGATCATGAGCCTGGAACATCTGCCCTGTGAGGAGAGGCTGAGGGAGCTGGGCCTGTTCAGCCTGGAGAAGAGAAGGCTGAGAGGGGACCTGAGCAGTGTCTATAAGTATCTCAAGGGAGGCAGTGAGGAGGATGGTGCTGGACTTTCTTCACTGGTGTTCACCAACAGAACTAGAGGTAATGGCCAGACACTGAAGCACCAAAAGTTCTGCAGGAACTTAAGGAAAAATTTCTTAGCAGTGAGGGTGCCAGAGCACTGGAGCAGGCTGCCCAGAGAGGTTGTGGAGTCTCCTTCTCTGGAGATCTTCCAAACCCGCTTGGACGCAGTCCTGTGCCACGTGCTCTAGGTGACCCTGCGTGTGCAGGGGGTTGGACTAGATGACTCTAGAGGTCCCTTCCAACCTTAGGCATTCTGTGATTCTATACGAGGAAGAGGAGGCTGAGATTCGATGGGAGCTTTGCTTTCTCCTTGGGGATATTGCAGGGTTATCCCATTTCCCCTTCAGCTGTGGCCTTCCCCACTGCCAGCATGTGCTGGAAGGCAGAACAATCCGCTAGTCCTGTCGGCTGAAAAGCAGGTGTGTGTGCATTTCCCTTCCTCTGCTCAGTAACGAGGTGCAGCTCACACACCATTCAGGACGGGCACGCTGGAAATGCTGCTGATCTCCCATAGCGGTGGGAGTTGCTCCGGACCCTGCTGTCCGTGAGCATTGGAGGCTGGTGCTTCAATCCCTTGGCATTTCAGGAAGTCCTTTTCCCCCCTGCAGGGCTGCCTTGGTCATGCTTCCCTCCGCGCAGGGCTCGTGCAGGCCGTGTGGGGCGCAGTCTGCACGTCCTGAGCCGGGGCTGGGAATGGGGAGAGTCGCTCGAGATCACCCTGCGTCTAGACAGGAGCTTGTTGACTGTGTCCTCTCCGGAGGGGAAAAACAAGGAGTGTCTGCCTCTCCAGGGTGTTTGGAGTGTAATTGCTAGGGATCAAGAGAAGGTTTCGCCCAGCGCTTGAGGTGCATGCGCCGCGCGCGGAGCTAACGCCGGGCTGTGCCGCGCTCTGTGCTGCAGGTGCCGCGGAGCCAGACGAAGCTGACGATGATGCTGGAGCAGCTGGGCATGTGCTACGCCGGGCGGCCCCACAGCGGCCTGGACGACGCGTGCAACATCGCGGCCATCGCGGTGCGCCGAGTCCTGGGCTCTAATAAAGCGAAGGGCGGCAGCTCCTGCCAGCCCGTGTTGCAGCATTTGTTTTATACGTTTCCTCCGGTCGCTTTCATCAGTTCTAGCAATAATCTGGACGCTCCTTGTCCAGACCCAGCCTTGCAGTCGCTGCTTCAACCAAAGCGCCTGCTCTGCAGGCAGGGGTCCAGCCCGGGGGCGACGTGGATTCCCTGTGCCTCGCTCCGATGACATCCACCCTCTGGTTACTCACTGCACACAGCAGGTCCCTGCTGGGAGGGCCGCAGTGGAGATTGTGCGGGTGACTAAGGCTGCTGATAATTTCTTGTTTTCTTCTGTGAAGCCTGGGAGAAGTGGGAGTGGTTCATCTTTTTTTCATATATAT